TTCCATGACGCCCCGCGCCGCCCCGGCAGCTCCAACTGCCCCTGGAAGGCACGCAGGGCCCAGCCACCGCGCGCGCGACAATTTCCACCCGACGCACCCGGGGCGACAGGTTCGGGGGGCACGCTGGCACGGACGGCCGGAAGAGCAGATGCGACCGTTGCCCCAACTCCGCCTCAGTCCACGAGTGGCAGTGCGGGCGCACCCCGAAAGGCATCTTCATCTACAGCTCCGGCGACCCCGACCCCAGGTCCACCGCCCGCGGCCTCCCGCCCTAAGACTGGGTTAAGCTATTCTTTAGCACGCAGTGGAATGCGACCTGGTACTGCGAGCGCTGCTCGGTCGACCTCTGGAGCGCCCGCCCGACCGACGCCCGGGAAATCCAGGTCCAGGATTGGGCCCAGGTCTACCCCGACAACCCGCCCAGGCGACAGCGCCCTCCGCCGCCGCAACCCGTTCCCGCCCCGGCCCAGGGCCAAAACGCAGCTAGCGCCCGCGACGAGTTGCCGCAACGGGCCCCTCTTGATCCCAGCTGGGAGAGGCAAGCCAGAGTCGCAGGCGAACGACCCCCTGCGCGTCTTCCAACAGGCGCCCCCACCTCTGGGACTGCCCATCGCAGCGGAAGCCAAACGCCTGCGAGGTTCGAAGGGGCCACCCTCCAAACCCGCTTCGAAGGGCGGGCCCAAGGCGGCGCCGTGCGCTTCCGAGCATGGGCCATGAGGGCAAAAACATGGGCGCGGCCCGCGCACGCGCTGCCAGCTACCCGCCTCGGCCGCGTGCGAGATCCCGCAGGGGCGAAGCCCAGCAGCGCGCTCTCATGGGGGGCGCAGGCGCCTGCCGGGCAGCCCCCCCTGCAGACGCACCCGCAGCGGCCCGCGCGACGACGGCAGGTCCCCGCCCGTCCCCAGCCCAGCGCCAGACGAAAGGGGGCGTCGCAGCAGGCGGGCAGCCGCAGCCCGATCACCTCAAGCAGCACCTCGAGCAGCACTTCGCCCCCGCTCCGCTGGCCGCCGCCGCCGCGTGGACCAGATCCAGAATAGGGGGCGGGGCCTGCCCGCGGCCCCGGCGAGAGGGCAGGCCCGCGCGCCCCACCCCACAGTGCGGGCTCCTCCCCGTGCCAGGGCGCCGCCCCGATCCAGGTTGCCCACTGCGCGGCCGAGGGCATCCTCGCCGACCTCCCAGACCTCAGGCCGCCCTCGCGCCCGCGCCTCGTCGTCAGGGGTGTCGAACCCCTTGGGGCAGACGCGGCGATCCTCCCTGGCCGCCAGGATGGGAACGCTAATGCAACCTTTGTGCACGTCGTGGCCCATCGCGCCCGGGCGCTGCACCGCCCTGTTGACGAGGCCTGGCGGGCCGATTCCCTACAGGGCCAGCGCTCGCCCGCCCAACAGGCCGCCCCGCGAGACCCCAGGGCTTGGGCGGGAGACGATTGCAATGACCTCCTCGCCCGCGTATACGGCACCACCATCCCCAGCGGCGGGATCCCAGAAGGAACGCAGCGGGGCGGAAGGCGAGCCACCCTGGCGCACCTCGTCGCCTACTTCAGAAGGCAAAAGACCCAGCCCGCCCGGGGCAAGCAGGAGCAAGTGGCAGATCTGTGGAGCACCCGCTGCCCGAACGACCACCAGCAGGCTCGCGATATAGACCAGGGCCCCAACAGGTACAGCCAGGAGTTACTCCTCGGCTTCCTAGACTCTCTAGCAATCCGAGTCCTACAGTTCCCGATGTTGACCCGCTGCGGTCCGACCGCGGCGGCCCGCCCCGGCGCCGGGCCCAGCCGCGACGCTGTCAGGGCTGCCCCCCCCCCCCCCCCGACAAGGCTCAGCGCTGACGCGCCGCGAGGCGCCCGAATCGACGCCGCCCGGGGGGGGGCCAGTTGCTCCGCCAAAGGCCTCGCCGCGGGGGCCCCCGCCCCTCCGGCTCCAAGCGCCCGCCCACCCCTGAAAGGGCTCGCCCCGAGTGCCGTCAGCCTCCCCGCCGGGCGCCGCCATCCACCCGCGCCGCCCCCCCCCCGCGCAGCGGAATCGATTGCTGTGGTTCCTGCGAACCCGGGCCGCGCGCCAGCCCCCCGCGCAGGCGAACGGGGCGTTCGCCTACTACCCCGCCCGAGCAGCCAACCCCCACCGCCTCGGTGGGGGTTGCGGCGGCGTCAGCCCGCGCAACCGGGGCGCCCGCGCAGACCTGGTGGCAGAAAGGGGCGGGGCAGACGAGCCCGGCAGCGAGCGTGCGCGCGAGATCCCCGGGGCCGCGGAGCAGACCATCGGCGCCCCGCACTCCCGCCCCGCCATTAGTGGAGACGCGTCGTCCAGCGAACGCCCTGGTCGCGCCCATCCACCGTCGCCCCCGGCGCGCTGGGCCCCTCGCATCAACGTCGGGCGCGCGCCCCACCGCGACCCGAACCGAGCCCCGCCGGGACATCCGCTGGCGCTGCGCGTGGAACTACCGAGCCCGCCGGCCAGAGACTTGGCCAGAAGTTGTCAATGGGCTGAAAGAGGAGTGCGGA